CCGCTTCTGGCAAACCAGAGCAGCGCACGGAAACGTCGTTTACCTTCCCACCGGAGCGGTACCTATTTATCTACTTGCACTTTGACGTGCTTTCAAACTGCTAGGTTGGCAGGAGCAGGGACCGAGCAACGGGAGCTCACCCCATTGCGGGGATTCGAACCACCGACCTTCTGATCGGCAAGCCCAAGAGGCTCTGTGGTTTAACCTACAGCACCACCCACGTCCCAAAAGAATGAGTAGAGTAGATTTTAAAAGCATTGCGTTAAATTTATCCAGGGTATACATTTTCATAAATTAATATGTGTAAGTGTTAACTCTGCTATAAATATTTGTACCTGATTTCAAATAAGCAAGTTCTCTCCTCAAGCTAACATATTCATACGTTCAATGAAATGGATTAGCATTAGCTAAGTATAATCTAGTCATTTTTGAATGTTATAAAACTGTGCATCATTTCTAAATGGGCTAGATTAACTGCATTGACCACATGGTGCTATGCTGTGCTTTGCTTTGCCTTTCCTTGTGAGGTCAATATTTTTTGAGTCACCAAGGGAGTCTGCTAGAGAGAACAAAGGAGAGACAGCAGTTGTCATACATGTGATTGTCAATGATACTTGGAAATGTAACTGAGAAGTCCTGAATGCCAAATTTGTTAGGTTGAGGGTTGAAATCCAAGGCCCCCCAGGTAACATTTTTAGAAATGCTGCTTGTTCCAGAAGCAGAGCCAAATAGACTGGAATACTATGAGATCTCTACACATGGATTAAGATTTCTTAGGCTCTGAAAAGTTGTAAATTTTCTGATCTGTTCCAGGATCTCAAATCCTATATTCACCTTCCTCGTCTGCTCATGTCCTATACACACCAATCCTGACAAGCCAGAAGTACTGTTTTCGGGGGACAGGGGGTGGGTGGGTGTGGGGGACTCCCTGCTCCTGAATGGGGTAACTGTGCCCTGAAGGACCAGGTGCGTAACCTGGGAGTCATTTTGGACTCACAGCTGTCCATGGAGGTGCAGGTCAATTCTGTGTCCAGGGCAGCTGTCTACTAGCTCCAGCTGGTACACATGCTGAGCCCCTACCTGCCTGCAGACTGTCTTGCCAGAGTGGTGCATACTCTAGCTATCTCCCGCTTGGACTACTGCAATGCGCTCTACATGTGGCTGTCCAGAACCAGAAACTACAACTAATCCAGAATGCATCAGCAAGACTGGTGGCTGGCTGCTGAGACCATATAACACCGGTCCTGAAATACCAACATTGGTTCCCAGTACGTTTCCGAGCACAAGAAGTGTTGGTGCTGACCTTTAAAGCCCTAAACGGCCTCAGATCAGTATAGCTGAAGGAGCGTCTCCACCCCCATCATTCAACCCGGACACTGAGGTCCAGCTCTGAGGGCCTTCTGGCGGCTCCCTCACTGCAAGAAGTGAGGTTACAGGGAACCAGGCAGAGGGCCCTCTTGGTAGTGGCGTCCGTCTTGTGGAACACCCTTGCATCATATGTCAAGGAAATAAACAACTATCCGACTTTTAGAAGACATCTGAAGGCAGTCCTGTTTAGGGAAGTTTTTACTGTTTGAAGTTTTATTCTTTTTTTAATGTTCTGTTGAAAGCTGCCCAGATTGGCTGGGGAAACCCAGCCAGGTGGGCAGGGTAGAAATAATAAATAAACAAATTATTATTATTATCATTATTATACCATGCTACCTCCCCCCTTCTAGTTCTGCCATATAAATTCTTCCTATGCCATTTCATCTCCAGCTAGACTCTGTGACATCTTGTGGTGATGTGCATTTGACCATTCATCACCATTGTGGTAATGTGCATTTGACTCTTTGCACACCTCTTAAGGGATACAACTCTCAAAACTGTCTTTCCTCCATGCATTTTGTATGGGGAAAACTCTACGTTACACATTTCTATTTTATGCTTTCTTTTCTTCAGAGCACTTTATATGCTCAGTTATAGTCATTATCAGATGATTGTATGTAACTAACATGGTGCTCTCCAGATGTTGTTGGACTACAATTCCCATCATTCCTGACAATAGGTCATGCTGGCTGTGGCTAATAGGATTTGTAGTCCAACAACATCTGAAGAGCACCATATTGCCTACCCCAATATAGTGGCTTTGTCCCCTGAAACCTCTGAGGTTAGACGACTTATTCTCTGGAAGCACGCTCCTAGAATTTTAGGGCACACAACATTTTATCAATATTTTAGTATTGATTTTATGTCATAAGTTGGTGGAGAACAGCACAGGCTTTGCATTCAGTAGATATGCAGCTAATGACACCAGTTAAAGCAGATCCTGCAAGCTTGAATCTCACAGGAATCCACAGAAAGACCCTTGCTGAACAAATAGTGTTGCTGATAAAATAGAAATAATCCCAGAGAAACCCAATGACAGGAAAACATCACAGTCAAATGATGGGCCTTAAATTACTATTTTGCATAATAAATGTATATTAAGGCACCATAGTTAAGGTGGACTGCAAGAAGATCAAACCTATCCATTCTTAAGGAAATCAACCCTGAGTGCTCACTGGAAGGACAGATCATGAAGCTGAGACTCCAGTACTTTGGCCACCTCATGAGAAGAGAAGACTCCCTGGAAAAGACCCTGATGTTGGGAAAGATGGAGGGCACAAGGAGAAGGGGACAACAGAGGACAAGATGGTTGGACAGTGTTCTCGAAGCTACCAGCATGAGTTTGACCAAACTGCGGAAGGCAGTGGACGACAGGAGTGCCTGGCGTGCTCTGGTCCATGGGGTCACGAAGAGTCGGATGTGACTAAACAACTAAACAACAACAACAAGTTAAGTTGAGTCGGTATTTTCATGATGACTTGCATGTGGAAGATCCCCGCTTCAATTCCTAGCATCTCCAGGCAGGGCTAGGAAAGATACCTGCAGCGTAGACAAAACTGAGTTAGATGGATCAATGGCCTGACTTGGTAGAAGGCAGCTTCCTATGTTACTAAACAGACGCATAACCCACTTGACCACCTGCCCCCAGTCTGGCATCTCTCACTGCATCCACAGCCTCTTTTCCCCCATATGCAGCCCATTGCCATGGATGCATGCCATTCTCCCCAGTCCAAATGAAAGTGTATAAGGAAAGCACAGGGTCAGTGTGCCAGAGACGCCATGGTGTCATGAGCTTTAGTGTTCCCCAGCCTGCAAAGGAAGAGGGTTGGAGCCGAAAGATCAAGGGGAGGATGTGGATACATGGAGGCTAAGTTGTAAATGAGCTCAATGGAACTGTAGAGCATGTTTACTGCTTGCATGATAAATGCAAGTGCCTTAACTTACAACTTCCACGGTATCTGAGGCAGGAGTGCATTTGTAAGCACTTTTACTCTTCTTTTAAACCAAAGGTGTGTTGTTGTTTTTTAAATCCTAGATTTAAAAAGTGTGGATGCAACCACAGCAGTCAGCATGTGACTAGAGAAACTGTTATTTTTCTCAATCCTTTAAAAATATTTAATTTGGGGAATTTCTGTGCTTGGCATATTTTCCAGCTAAGGGGATTTGCTATGTGCAGGTGCAGCTGATTACAGTGGAACTTTTTTTATATAAAAAAAGACACCTTGTCAAAGTTTAGCAGAATGGCTGCATATATCAACCTGATCTTAAAACCGCAAATGAGAAAATAATGTGAGCAGATAATGTGTTTGGCTATTTAAGCCTCGTTTTCTGCTTTTAAATAGTTTGGAGCTGATCACTTGCTATACAAATTTATGAGGGTGTTGTTGTTTTTTTTATTTGACCACAATTAGATCAGTATGAAAATGCAGAACATGCTAGTCAAGAATGAGCTTAGTTAATCTTACACTGATGTTGTGGTTGCTGTTGTGAAGCCTCACTATTAAAGTGTAATTCATTCTGTGCAGCCAGTTAATAATTAGGTGATTACATAGCAGAACGAGCAGGAGCCACTCATTTCTACATAACAGGGTGTAGGAACAGATCCATTCATTACTTGGACCTGCTTCTTTTTAATTCTTAAATATAGGGCTTTGTAGCACACAAAATATCAAGAAAAGAATTTATGGAGAAACAGTAACTAGATTTTGAAAACTGAAAACCTCCCAATTGGGGTGCAAGGCTTTTAAACACACACACACATACACACCCAAAGTGATACATTTAAAAAGTAAATCAATCTTCAACTATCAAAGTAGTTTTAATATTTTCCACTAATAATCAAAAACTGCTAAACTAAAATGGAGAGAATCTGAGACATCCCTAATAATTCCCTGCAACTTATAAATCATTAATTAATTTAATTATTATAGAACAATGAATATGAGATTCCTGGATTTTAATCATTTTCTCATCAGGCTCTCCAATCAAGTCTTCTTAGATCCTAAATAATTCATAAAGAATTAAATCCCTGGCCTCAGTGGAGGCAATAGCAATGTTCCCTCGTGGTTCATTGGCACCCCTGACTCCATCCATCCGCTGATATTTTGTGCAAAGGAACTACACAAACACCTTAGTCATTATTTGTCCGTTAACCATTTGTAGTAAGGTAGCATTAGGAGTCACTTACTAGTGTACTGTAGAGGGGTCAGAAATCATTCCCAACATTGTTTTCCTTTGTTGCCAACTATATTTCAAATCAGTTGTGTGGTGTTGTTGTTTTGCAATAATGTTTTCATGTTTTGAACATTTGGGATGGGAAACACTAGCAACTAAGGATGCCAAACATTGTGGCCTGTTATCTAGGCAGCTTGGCATTTTAATAAATGGGTACATTTTTTTTTTATCAACATCAAATATTTCTTTGGAATAATAATAATAATGGTCAGGATAAAAAATATACATGTAAGTTTCTGTTTTGTTTGCTTCTTAGGGCCAGATCATTAAACCTTTTTGTATTTGTGGGCCAGAAAATGTGAATCTGCCTTATTCTGTGTTTATCCATCCAGCTCTTGGTCCACCTAGCTCAGTATTGACCACCTGAGTTTCAGGTGAGAATTTCTCACAATCCTACCTGGAGATGCCAGGGATTGAACCTGAGACCTTCTGCATCCAAAGCATTTGCTGTGCCACTAAACTACAGTCTCCCCTTCCCCAGCCATCTTTGGCATGCACTCTGTGAACTGGGTGGCCATGGCTATTGTCAGCAACACATCCTCTTCATAGCCAAATAGAAACCCTTTTGGTTAAGATATATTGCTTACATTTTCACTAATCTATGCATTTATATGCATAGATTACTTGGCATTGCAAAATCTGGAAAACAGAAAATTTTGAAGGATGGCCGTGTTTTGGTTTGCATTTCTTTTTCTTCTGAAAGTGCAGATTTTGGAATTTTATTTCTTCCCCAATTCCTACAAGTAAATTTACACTGCTTGCATAAAGCACGCCTGAATCTGTCCTCATGCACTGTGCAAAATGAGGTAGTAGGCTACCAGACCGAAGAATGCTAAACTGTGCTACCAGATGCGAGTTGCCTTGTTTTTCCTTGCTCTCCCCCTTACAAAATACATTTAAACTATCCCTCTCCTTGATGAGCTACCTGCATGGACATTTTTATGCAGAGGAGCATTCAGACGTGTGACACTCCATCTGCGGTATGAAGTGGCACAGTCTGAAATTCGATTAAAGCAGCCATCCTGTGCAATCCTAATGGCTCTCGGCTATCGTTAATAATTACAAAGGGATGTACAACAATGCACCATGGTGCAAGAGGGACCAATAAAGGTGGCCTTTTGAAGGAAAAAAAAGGCTCTTCTTTTCTTAAGCTCCTGAAAAGCTATTTATGTGCTTCCGAGAATCAGATTTACACAGTCACATATTGGCATGTGGGTGGCAAGCCGATAAAACAGAAAAGGAAAACAAATATGAATAGCTGCTCATATTGATGTGTGGTTTTGGGGTTTTTTTGCAAAGACTATTCATTAAAAATGAATAACAGCTTGTCTTTGTATGAGAGATCTTGCAGCAGTTTCAAAAGCACATGGCAGGGTTTTTTGTATGTGAATTTCAAGGCAAACACCATGATAAACTCATATTTGGTTTGTAGCATTGGGCACCCAAAGTTATGGAAATGTGCTTTTGTTTAAATGGGGCATCCCAACTCTGAAGAATTTAACCTTACGTATTATTTTTGTGCCAGCACAGAGAGATTTAAAAGCTGCAAAACAATAAGTTGATGCTGCAAGAGAATCCTGTAGAAAAAAACTCAACAGAAGCCCTGAGATTATGTGGTGAATAGATAACATGCAATGGAAAGTGGAACTGACAATCTGTTCATTTTGCCAGGATAGGACTATCGATTGCCGGGGGGGCGGGGTGAGTTCAAGCACATAACGAAGCCTGCATTTATTTATTTTCTAATAAAAGAGGAAATGGGTCACACATTCAATTCTCTATGACTGTTTATGAATCACAGCATTACAGGCAAGTATTTTACATGTTTCCCAATGTTGAGGTATAAAGGCTGACTATGTGGAGACCAACTTCTTCCCTTCTATCTTTTGACATAGAAACTCTTCCCTGTGGCCACATATTTAAGTTCATCTTCAAAGTCCTGTGGCTTTACACTAGTTGATTGTTTACTATATTCCTGGTTATCACTTGAAGCATGGGTAGGGAAACTAAGGCCCGGGGGCCGAATCCGGCCCAATCACCCAATCACTGCCTGCAGACAGTCCGGGATTCAGCATGTTTTTACATGAGTAGAATACGTCCTTTTATTTAAAATGCATCTCTGGGTTATTTGTGGGCCATAGGAATTCGTTCATTCCCCCCCCCCCAAAAAAATAATAATATAGTCCTGCCCCCCCCCACAAGGTCTGAGGGACAGTGGACCGGCCCCCTGCTGAAAAAGTTTGCTGACCCCTGACTTGGAGGATGATCAAGGGTTCCTCAATAAGAATGTTAGCAATGGTGAACAGGTGTCCTTGAAAGACAGCTTCATCGTTGCTAATGTTCTTCAAAGATGAACAAAGCACGCCCATCTTCATTTCAAATGTTCAAGACTCTTCCAACCCTCTTTCCAAAATTATTGTGGAAAGTACAGGCTGTTCCTACAGGGTTGGGCAAAGCTAGGAAAGACCCACTTGTATGGGGGGGGAGCTCTTGCACTATCACCATACCTCTCAACTCCTACTGTCCCTCCTAAATTCTTCAAAACTTACAAGCTGTAGCAGGGGGTGAGAGAAGGCTCTTTTAAAAACCCATTGTTCCTCATTGTTTAAGGCTCTCTGCAATGAAGACTTCTAAGCATGCTTAAATCCTCCGTTGGCCACAGAACTCTGGTGAACTCATCCCAATAAATGAATATGGAGGAATAAATAACTTTTCTAAAAGAAAATGGAGTCCTGCTCAGAACTTCTCTTTCTAGCATCAATAATGCAATCTCCAAACATACTCAGAAATCTTCAGAGTAAGGGAAGAAATAGTTTAGAGGAGGACAAGCTCATGGCTTAAGTCTGGCAACTGTTCTTCATTTCTTAATTCCTCCAGGAATGAATAAGGAGGATTTAAAATTTTAAAAACCTCAATGGCTACAGGATTTACAAACTGAAAAGTTATTATTTCAACCCTCCTTCCACCCAAATTCTGAAGTAGTTCCCAGTTTCTCTTCCTCTTCCTCCATAAAGTATGGCTGCAGGCAGTGATGGGCTTGTTAATACAGCCCAATTCCAGTCAGTGTAGGTGAAGCTCTGCAGACCTGGTCACTGTCCTATGTTTAACTGAGTCTCCTGTCTGGTGGAACAAGATGAGGGTCAATGTTGTGACATGACAGTCCATGGAGAGGTTTCTCCCAAGTGCTAAGCTTGAATATTACTCATTGCTCTATACTAGCTAACCATGCCAACGTCGTTGTAATGTAGCTCTGGTGGTTGCACTATCCACCTTTTATGTAAAATTCCCTTGCCAAATTTTAAACAGCCTTTGCCCTAATTTCTGTACCTTAGCAAGCCTGTTCATACATTATGGCTGTCCTGATTTGCATATTCACTTTCTTCACAGGACAGCAGCCCCTGCTCTGTACAAAATGCAGAAACCACTTTAAATACATTTGTATTTCATTTTAGTCCATATTCTTTATCCATGGAGCCTGATTCCATCCTGTGCATGCTTTCTCAGAAGCAAGTCTCACTAGGTTCAATTGTAAGTTATTAGGATTGCAGTCAGAGAACCCATTATTATACATAATTACCTGGAAATAATCCTGCCGATTTTAAAATGGGTTTCCTCTCATGTAACTGTGTAAATGATTTTAGTCTTACAGAGGCAAAATCGTTCAACTTTAGATCCATGGTAGACAGCCAGAGAGAGAGAGAGAGAGAATAAAACTGATACCGATATTAGGTCGCATGCCTGGTTAAGAGAAATCACCAGTCTTCCAGAATATGCTATTTATGAATTGCACATACTTCAGGTACTAAATGCCAAGGCAGCAGCATAAATCTTTGCCACTGCTGACACTCAGCTCACATGACCATGTAGTATTACATCAATTTACCTCAGCAAAGGTGATGGAGGAGACAAGTAGCTGCAAATCCGTAGTCAAATTTTTCTAGGCTCATCATTTCAAATGATCTTCTCCTTTCTAACATCCAGAATTGACAAAAATCTCTTGGGTGGTCCCCCCCGTTGCTTCTGAATGTCCTCCCTCTCCTTGTGAAATAATTACTTTCACAATAAACAACTAGGATGTTACAAACAGTGGTACATGACGATGACTTCAGGACTGTGAAGGGGAGTGAACGGCAAGAGAAAAAGAAATGCTGTTTACAAGAAGTGCCAGTGACATGCAGAAGAGACAGACATAGACTCTAATTTAACAGTCAGAAAGTCCATTGCATTACAAAGGATAAAAAAACATTCTCCATTCATTTCTAGAAAAGAAATTGGCATGTGGCACATACGGCATTGTGGTTCAATTAGCAAGGGGCTACTTGACAGGTAGAACCATCTGGCATGCAAGTGTTTGATTTTGCATTTGCTAGTTTGCAACCAGTAGGCACATACTCTCAGTAGTAACTGTAATAGCCAAGCAAGAGAAATTATTTTATCTTTTTGTTTTGGTTGCTACTGCCAGGAACCATGGATTTCACATCATGATTTTAGTTGCTTATGTGAAATGGTGCCCATGGGACTTAGCTTGATTTTACCCGCACTAGGGACAGGGCAGTTTTCTGATGTAACCACTGAACATTGAAAGGGAGAAGTATGCATTTCTCAGGCTAGGTGGGAGGGAAGATGCAAGAAAAAGAAGTATAGCCAGATAGGAAGCTATAGGACAGTGGTGGGAAGCACATCAGCAAGGTCCTGTTTTCCCAGTAAAATTAAGTTTGGATTTTCTTCTGGTGACTTTGAATGTTGTTATCCTCCCAAATATTCCCAGTGCTACTCCATATTTTTAAGGTCTGAAATGTGTAAAGTAGGCTTGATGAAGAATAAATATATTGTTTTAACTGAATCAATCTGTCTAAATTCATCACTGTTATTACAGTGGTACCTTGATTTTTGAACTAAATCCATTCCAGAAGTCCGTCTGAATTCCAAAATGTTTGAAAACTGAAAGCGGAAGCCTCAAAACGGAAGCCTCAATATGAAAAACTCAAAGCGGAAGCCACATTTCCTGTTTGACTTCTGAGGTGCGTTCGAAAACCAAGGCATTTACTTTCGGGTTTTCGGCATTCGAGTTCCAAAACGTTCAACTATGGAGGCGTTTGAAAACTGAGGTACCACTGTATTAGATATTGAAACTATTGCAATACACACTAAGAAAGTACAACACTTATAAAGAACATAAGTTGCTATCACACAGTTGGAGAAAACCAACGATTATTTGCTGGTATTCATTATGCCACCTTGTCTGTCACTGTACAGGGAATTTGAGATCCCATACCACTGAAGCAAAACCTACATACCTCAAAGGCATTTTGGCAAATCCAGATTCTGCAGATACAAACTCCATCTTTTAGAAAAAATTCTGTGTAAGGTTCTATCAAGGCATATATTTCAGATTATAAGAAGGAGTGTCTCCACCCCCATTGTTCAGCCCAGACAATGAGGTCCTCCTCCGAGGGTCTTCTGCTGCTTCC